AGCGAGAAGTCCATAGGTTTTTTGAGCAGCGAATGTGCCATCACCATTGCCCAATAAAACACCAACATCGTTTGTACCTTTATTTGAGACAATAGCATCGAGATCACCGTCGCCATCCACATCAGCTAGTGTTACAGACGTCGGTATTGAGCCAACGCCAGTCGGATAATTCGTCGGTCCGGTAAATGTTACAGTGCAGGGTACTAACAGGAAGAAAAAAAGATGATGAAGCATTCGCAGAGTTATGCCCAAGTGCTACTTCTTTGGTCCGATTTTCTTGGTGATGAAATTATATGGATAACGGCTGATTAGACCGAATAGATAGGAATGAAGAGAGACTACAGACCTAGTCTAGGAAAATCTTTCCTTTTCCAACAAGCTTATATATATTTTCCCCTAAAATTTGCAAATTTCTGTTTCATGGTCCCTTTCTCTCTACATAGAAATGAGTACCTCTATGCTGCATTTTAGGCTACTATGGATCATTCATGTCCTTAATTGGGGCACGCATATCATCATATATCTGGTGTATGGCTGTGATCTGGTGTGCAGAAAAGTTCTAAGAATAACTTCGTGCACATCGACACCTACACTCTATCACCGAAAACTTAGTTTAAAAGTTTGATAAAAGTATCTATATATTCCGACTGATGAACGACACTTACTCTTGATCAAGTGTTTTGGGAAAACGTTGCTATCTCACAATAGGTCTCTCTGGTAGATAGTGAGGTTCGAAACTTGTGAATTCGAAGATCGTTTAATGAATGCTTTGATTATCGATTCGAAAGTACGAGATCCTTTTCGCTATTATTTGTATTCACAACTGACACACTCTAGGCATTTTTCAGGCAATTTTTACAGTGGTCTCATATGCACTCTAACTTAAAATGTGTCGCATGTATGTGTCGTGAGTTATTGTGTCGTGCATCCCAGCATAAAAATGTGTCGCACTTAAAATGTATCGTATACAAAGGATGAGGGCGGGTAAGGCCATTTTCCGGCCCCCTTCAGAATTCATTTATATTTATCATGCTTTAATAAGCATTCGATCCTGATCATATTTTTCAACTTTATTCCCTAAAAAATGACATTCATGATTTTGGTCCCTGCAGTCCCCCCGAGGTATCATGAAAAAAAAATTTCGTTTTTCTCGATTCAAAACTAAATGGAACTATAGATTCAAGGGTGCTGATTACGAAAATTAAAATAAAACGACTCGAAAATGTTTTCTTCCTTAAATGGTCTTGACCACTCGAGATACCCTATTTTTGCCTATTTGAAGCCCTACGGAACAGTAATTTTTTGAAATTTCACGGAAAATACTTTTTCTTACCTAAAATGTTGAGCTCTTTACGAATCTGAACTTTTTAGGACGCAAAAACGTGACCTTAGAAAAATAGATTGGGATTCTGGGGCCAAATACGGACCTTTTATCTATATACCGATTTTTGTCCTCCTGGTTTCCCATGAAGCGAACCTTGCCGCAACCTCAAATTTTGAGCTTAGGGGTAACTTTGCAAGCTCTATCTGCTGGTAACCTCAAAACAGAAGAAAAAGTTGTGCAACAGGGTCAAAAGTCCGAATTACGGCTAAAATAGGCCTATTTTTACTGTATTAGTCTCCATTCGACATCAAGTGAATCTTGCCGCAACGTCAAATTTTGCTCATAAGTGCAACTTTTCAATCTCTATCGATTGAGAATCTCAAAAGTAGGAGAAAAGTTGTGCAACAGTGTCAAAAATTAAAAATACTAAAAAATTCAATAAAATGCCGTGGGGGACCACAGGTGCCGATATAGTTGGGATCTTCAAATCAGCTGAAACATAACACATTTTGTAGATCCTAATGAACTATGAATCTTGGAAAAAT